GAGAGAGGGAACACAAGCAGGGGGAGTGGGAGAGGGAGAAGCAAGCTTCCCGCGGAGCAGGGAGCCCGATGCGGGGCTTGATGCGGGGCTTGATCCCAGGACCCTGGGATCATGACCTGAGCCAAAGGCAGATGCTTAACAACTGAGCCACCCAGGTGCCCCAGCATGATGTCTTTGAGCTTCATCCACGGTGTTGCCGATAATGAGAGTGGGTTCCTTTTAATTGTTGAGTAGCATTTCATGGTATGGATGTAATACAGTTTGACCATTCACCAGTTGAAGGATATCTGGACTATTTATAATTTTGGGTTATTATGAACAAAGCTGCTGTGAACATTTATGTACAGGTTTTTGTATGAACATAGGTTTTTATTTTTCTGAGATAAATGCCCAAGAGTGTAGTTGCTAAGACATATTTAGTTAGTACATGCTTAATTTTTTTTCATTGTAAGCATGGTTTATATTTATTTTATTTATTTTTAAAGATTTTATTTATTTGAGAGAGAGAGAGTGCACGCACAAGCGGGGGAAGGGACAAAGGGAGAAGCAGACTCTCTGCTGAGCAGGGACCCTGATCTGGGGCTCGATCCCAGGACCCCAGGATCATGACCTGAGCTGAAGGCAGGTGCCTAACCAACTGAGCCACCATGTGCCCCTGTAGGCGTGTTTTTTAATGTAGGGCCATACAAGGAATATCCATTGAGAAATATTCGTATTGATTTATAAAACTACACCAGAGCTTCCCAAGAGAGTATAAAACATGAAGTCATGCACCTGGGATCCAGGTTCTGAATATTAGAATTTCCCTTACAGAAAGACTTGAGATGAGTGGAGTCCATACTTGGGACTCAAAAAGAGACCATTATATCCTTTAACATCTTCAACAATCCAAAGAATGGCCTGAGGAAGAGTGGGAGACCAATGATGTGACCCAAATTGGGTAAGATATAAGCCCAAAGATCTGTTTTTCCTATGTACGAGTGAGACTAGAACAAAGGAATTTGTGCCACCATCAAGGCCTATAGCAATTATCTGACTGGAGTGGAGTGTGTTATACGGTGGCAAAGATTTATGTTTATTTTTTTTTATTTTTTTTTTTTACAGGATGCCTTTTATTTTTATTTTATTTATTTATTTATTTGACAGAGAGAGAGCACAAGTAGGCAGAGTGGTAGACAGAGGGAGAAGGAGAAGCAGGCTCCCCGCCGAGCAGGGAGCCCGACACGGGGCTCGATCCCAGCACCCTGGGATCACGACCTGAGCCGAAGGCAGACGCTTAACAGACTGAGCCACCCAGGCGCCCCGATTTATGTTTAGTTTTTTAAGAAACTGCTATACTCTTTCTCCAGGGTGGCTGTACTGTTTTACATTCCTACCAGGAGAGTGTGAGTGACCCAGTTCCCCCTCATTCTCACCAGCATTTGGTGTTACCATTTTTTAAAAATGTTAGCCATTCTAATAGGGGTGTAGAGATATCTCCTTGTAGTTTTAATCTGCATTTCCCTAATGACTAATGGTAGTGAACATCTTTTGATGTGCTTATTTGCCATCTATATATCTTTCCTCTTTGATGAAATGTTTTGTTCGTAGCTTTTGCCCATTTTCTAAATGGTTTATATGAGAGTTCTTTATTCTAGATAGGAGTCCTTTGTCAGATATGTGGTTTGCAAGTATTTTCTCCCAGTCTGTTAGTTGTCTTCTTATCCTCTTAACAAGGTCTTTTGTAGAACAAAATTTTTAATTTTGATGAAGTCCAATTTATCAAATTTTTTTTATATGGATTGTGCTTTTGGTGTCTTCTACTTCACTTAGCTCTAGATCCCAAAGGTTTTCTCCTTTGTTTTCTTCTAAAAGTTTTATGGTGAATATTTGATGATATAAAATGTTTATTGCAGATTTTTTAAAAATTAGAATACTGGGGGTGCCTGGCTGGCTCAGTTGGTAGAGCATGTGACTCTTAATCTCAGGGTCGTGAGTTCAAGATCCACTTTGAGCATGGAGCCAGTTAAAATTAAAAAACAAGAACAACAAAAAACTAAAAAAATAATTTAAAAAATTAGAATACTGGTATTGTGGGGATGTTTTAAAGAGGCCTTTTAGAAATAACTTATTAAAATATTTACAGGTAATGTCTAGGATTTGCATGAAAATAATTTAATTCAGGAAGAGATGAAATAGGTGGGGTGTAGAAAAAACAAGATTGGCCATGTTCCTATAAGACTAGATTTTTTCGCCATGAGGTAGGTGCTAAAAGTAGACTTTTCTTCTTCTCATTGCTGAATTAGATAGACTATACATGGCCTTCCTAATTTATTCTTTTAAAGATTTTATTGGAGAGACAGCCTGCGCGCACAAGCAGGGGGAGTAACAGAGGGGAAAGGAGAAAGAATGCTCAAGCAGGCTACCTACTGAGCACGGGGCTCAATCCCAGGACCCTGAGATCACGACCTGAGCCAAAACCAAAAGTCTGAGCCACCCAGGTGCCCCTGCCCTTGAATTTCAAACGAATAGATGGTAGAGAAGAGTGTGATGACTAACAGAGTAATCACAGATGCAGCCAGCGCCAACAGAGGGCTGTGGAGATTTAGAGATGGAGAGTAGTTTAGGCAACTAGTTACCCTGCCTGCAGGGTGTAGCTGTTTATACTACTGACCCGGCAGTGCCTCTAATTCTTAAAGGCTTTTTCTGTTAAGAAGCCAATAACATAAAGCCCAATAAATATTTGGTTTTCATGATTACAGATTAATAGTTTAACTGTTCATCAATGATGAAAATTATGCACACGGAGTTTTATGAGACCTACTGTAAACATGCATTACTTTAAAGGTGACTTTCTCTTAAAGTTCATTTGATGTAGTCATTATCGGTGGCGGAATTGTGGGCCTCGCCTCTGCCAGAGCACTCATCCTGCGACATCCAGCACTTTCCATTGGTGTTCTGGAAAAGGAGAAAGATTTAGGTATGTATAATATCAGTGTTGCTCTTTGGGCTTAACCTGAATACCTGCTCATTTCTTCAGTCCTGCATCTTTCATGTTGAATGTTGATGTTAGTACCCTGGTTAGGTTTCTCCATAAAGCAGAGCCTAGGACTAGAACTTGAGCAGAGGTGATTTATTTGAAAGGTTGTTTAGGAGGCAGGAGCGAGGGGGTGTGGAGAGTAAACCAGGAAGGAGGAAAAGCCACAGGAGGGTACTTTATCATGGTTGCTGTGGTGAGCTTGATTCCTCTGGGACCTCTGAGGAGCTACATCAACATTTCTAAGTATTGTGCTCGTTTATTCATCAGCTAGTGTTTCTACTGGCTGATGATTACCCCTGGGATATTGAGGCATAGTCTTCTCTCCCCTCACTCCTCCACTTGTTAGGAATGGGCATGCAGAATGCCCAGAGCTATAGTGGGCCCTTGAAGTGGTTTGCTGGTGGTGAGAGGTGGGTTTGTGCACCAGAGTTGTAACTGAAATCAAAGATGGGCTGGGGGGTTGTGGCATGGACACCAGGGATGGCTAGTAGAGGAAGTTACCAGTGCCCTGCCTGTAAGAACGAACTCAGACAGAATGTTCAATAATGTGGTCTCTAATGGCTTCAACTATGTCTGTTCCTCCACTTTTGTGGAGGTTTTGTATGCATTGTGTATTTTTTCTTACCCTCTTTCTCTTGTCCGGTAGCTGTTCACCAGACTGGACATAACAGTGGTGTCATACATAGTGGAATTTATTATAAACCTGAATCTCTGAAAGCTAAATTGTGTGTACAAGGTGCAGCCCTCATCTATGAGTATTGTAACCAAAAGGGAATTTCCTACAAACAATGTGGCAAGGTAAGGCATTTTGCTAGGGCCTTGACTTACTTGTAACTAGCATTTTCTTAGTGATGTTTGATGTTGAGTTAAAAAAAAAAACTGCTTTTCTTTCTTTATGTAATTTTCAAAATCTAATATTAGGAAATAACTAGAAAGTGGTACGACTCACTCCTTGTAATTTAAAAAATAACAGATTTATTGACATATAATTTATATACCATATAATTCATCCTTTTATTAAAGTGTTCAGTTCGATTTTTAGTATATTCATAAAATTGTGCAACTGTCACCACTGTCTAATTTTAGAACATATTCATCACCTAATAAAGAAACCCCCTGCCTATTAACAGTTATTCCCAATACCTCTCACTTCCTATTTCTACCTCTCCCCAGCTCTGACAACTCCTAATATACTTTCTCTCTCTCTGTGGATTTGCCTATTCCGGGCATTTCCTGTAAATAGAATCCTATAATATGTTGTCTTTTGTGACTGGCTTCTTAGCATAATGTTCTCAAGGTTCATTCATCTTGTGGCATGAATCAGTACTTTATTCCTTTTTATAGTCCAGTGTGTAGGAATACCACATTTTGTTTACCTCTTTATCAGTTGACAGACATCTGGGTTATTTCCACATTTGACTATTATGCATCATGCAGCTATGGATGTTTATGTGCAAGTTTTTGTGTAGGCTTATGTTTTCATTTCTCTCAGATAGATACCTAGGAGTGAAATTCCTGGGTCATTTGTTAACTCCAGTTTTAACATTTTGAGGAACTGCCAAACTGTTTTTCAAAGTTCTGCACTATTTTAAATTGGTATCAGCAACTAATGAGGATTCCAGTATCTCTACATCCTTGTCAACACTGTTATTGTCTGTCTCTTATTTTAGCCATCCTAGTGGATGTGAAGTGGTAGGTCAATGTGGTTTTGATTTGCATTTCCCTAGTAATTAACGGTGTTGAGCATCTTTTCATAGCTTATTGACTACTCATTTGTCTTTGGAAAAATGTCTATTCAATTCTTTTGCCCATTTAAAAATTGGATTACTTGTCGGGCGCCTGGGTGGCTCAGTTGGTTAAGCGACTGCCTTCGGCTCAGGTCATGATCCTGGAGTCCCTGGATCGAGTCCCACATCGGGCTCCCTGC